AATTTCTTTCTTTTCTTTTTTCTTCTTCTTCTTTTTTTTTTTTGCTTCACTTGCCCCATATCAGATGGACCATGTTTCAAGAATTCCTGGAGATTTATAAATAATTTCTGTGTTTTCTATTTCACAGAAGAAAGAGGCATTATACAAATGTGAGCTGTTGTCACAATAATGATAAAAAATCAGGAGTTGAAAGATGTGGATTAAGAGGGAATTTCCAAGGAACCACAAGACACGAAATAGGAAACAGAGACAGAAGGCTGCTATTACAAAATTGCAGAAGGTGAAATCTTTGGTAGCTTCTTATTTCTCTGGAGAATATGATATTGTCAGACTGAGATGGAAGAATTACATGGTCATACTTTAAGTGCTATGGTTCCGAGTGGCAATGTTATTGATCAATTTTCAGCCTGAGGTTTGTGATAATCCACACAAGTTGCTTGAGATCCTTAACAGTGAGGTTTAACTGTCAGTGCTTGAAAACTTGCCTACAGGGGGCAGCACAAATACAACTAAACTTAGGGGCAAAGCATGAAATGCATCTAGATTCGTGGTTGTTTCAGGATCCGCTTGCAGCTGAAACACTGGCTGCACAAGACTCAGCTGAGGGAATCTATGCAAAACAGGATATTTCTGTATTATATTAGTTTTCAAGGTTGATTTTTGGCAGTGGGAGGGTTAGCATTGACATTCATAATGTCACCTGTTATATATGTGTTATTTTGACATTTTAATATTTCAGAATACAGAAATGAATATGCTATTACCATTTTGAAGAGATAATGCCGATATGTATCACTTGGAATTGTTAGAAATTGGTTGAGAATAAAAGATAATCCCTTCTTATGAACTTAGAATTCTTGGAAATTGGATGAAAATTAGAGATGATCCCTTCTTATGAACTTGGAATTGTTAGAAGTTGGATGAAAATTAGAGATGATCCCTTCTTATGACTTTAGCCTAGGAGTAAGTACTTTGTGGAAAGTCAGAACGAAATCTGACACACTGAAACTTTGATTCCTGATTTTCAAACAAGAAAAAAAACTAGGTGATGTAAACTGGCTTAACAAGAAATTATGAATCTAGAACCTGGATGTCAGATCTAGATGATATAGGCAAATATGCCTATTCTCTGCCCTTTGCCCTGTTCTAAAACTGTATGAATGGAAATGAGCCCACTATTTGCCCTGAACTGGTGCATTCCTTCCTCACTGCAGGTTGAAGAAATCTTGAAACACTGGGCTTTCCTCTGCAAGGGGAAGGATAGCACTGGCAGCCATCCGCTGACCCAGTAATAACCTGGATTGAGAGGATATCGTTTGCATTACTTGCTGAATGAAACATAGTGAAAATGACTGCACATAACCTCAATAAATCCAAGACATTATTTTCAAATCTAGCCCAGCCCATGCCATCTAGACAGAACAGAGATTCCGGTTTCCAGGAAAGTAGATGGAACAGTGATAAAAGTACCTCCCAAAACTTTTGGCTTGGTAGGTTTTGGACTCAGGAGACATCTGGGTTTTCATTCTCTTCAAATTTTGAATGACAATGACTTCCAGTTCCCCACAAATTTCCCTTGATTTCCTGAGCATAAAGCCACATGTTCTTGTCTTTTCTGTCTTTATATTACTACGTGGATATAAGCCAAGATATAGGACTTCAAGCACTTTGCATGGATGCCAAGTCCATCTCACTGACCATCTATTCTCAAAGCTTACCACTGGGCCTTAAACTCTTTATTACATTCAATGTCAAGCATTGAATGTAAAGCATTCAAAAAAGGGTTTAAGGGCTCTTTTGTTTATTTCTGGCACATCCAGAATTCTTGGTTTAGTTAGAATCTGAAAAGAAGTTGTATTTAAACTTCTCATTTAAACCCTTCTAAGGAAAATGACAAGAAGGTTGTTTTTTCTTTGTAGTTTCATAATAGAACGTCTTAAGAACATTTGCAGTTGTTGAAATCCACCTTCTCTCTGATTCATTGAATTAGAGATAGCTATCCAACTACTAGTTGTCCTTTCTCACTAACTCTCTTAATTATTTCTAGATACTGCAGAGTGGCACATAACTAAACATTATCAAGGAGTTTTACAGCCCTAGGCCTGCTATTACTGTGTATTACAGTCTGCTGTAATCATTCTAATGGTCTAAGATATTGCAACTAATTTACCCAAGGGCTGAACACCAGAAGTGCTGAAATTGTGTGAGAGTTTTATTCTGCATCCAACCATTACCAGGAAGGAGGATGTATTACTTCTCATTTCTTTACAAGTGTCAGTGCAAATCCAGCCATTGAACAAAAGTTAGACTTAAAAGCTTTTAGATTACAGCGATTAGTACAGATTTTACATGAGATAAAAATGTAATTGCTCCATTTCTTTTATTCTTTCTTTCATTTTCTTCTCTCTCACTGTATATTTTAGATTGTCCTGCTTGACTGCCAGGTCAGACCGAGCACACAAAGATATTTGTCATAAGACTGGGGAGCTGCAGTGTTCTTTTCATAAGAAATGAAATGCTTGGAATTTATCTTCCAAATGAATCACAAAACTTCCATTGCCATTTTCATTTTTAAATTATATTATGTCTATGTAAACTCATGCATTGCTATAAAGGAATAACATTTCCAGCCATGTGGTTAGTGACAGAGAATGAGCTGAAGGCAGCAATCCTTCATAGGCAAAGTGGTGCTTGCATTTTTTCATCTTGCTTCTTTTTTTCCTTTTCCATATTCACCTATCCTTTTAAATTCTTTGAATCTATTTTTCCTCCCTCTCTTCCTTCCTTTCCTCCATCTCTGTCTTTGTCACTTATTAATTCCTTTTTTTTTCCTTCCAGACTTGGATATTTGTCCATCTCCCATCATTCTCTTTCATATACATTCTCTGACTTGTAGGAACTAGGATTCTTATATTCTAAGATTAACACTCTGCTTAACAGGGTATGTTTATAAACTACTTGAGAAGGAATATTGCCCCAGTTATCAAAGTCATCCTGTTGGGAATGTCAGTCTTTTACTCTTGTTCATGCTCAGAGAAACAGTGCTATAGGGATTATACCCTCAGTCCCTGGAAGGTAGCAGACTCAGATTTTAAATTTATTTGCCCCTTGCCTCCTAATATTCATTTTCCCCTGAGTTTATCTGGACACATTTCCCAGGTTGCCTCGCAAGTATGTTGCCATACAACTGCACTTTGTCTAATAAAATGACACTGGTTGTTTTGTGTAGTTTCTGGAAAGCGTCCTTAAATAGAGGAGGAACGCTGTTCTTATTCTCCATTTTACATCCTGTAATGCTTGCATAATGACTGAAGCTCCAGCGGTCATTTGTAACCATTAAGACAAGAATCTTTTCCTAGGAAGGATGAGATGGAATAAGCTGATAACTTTGTGGGTTACTCACAGTAGTCCTCAATTGCCCATATTTGTGCTTTTTTTCTTTAAAAAAAAAGTGAAACAGATCAACTTTTATTATGTTTGAATGACTTTTTAAATTGGAGTTAGCTATTCTGTACAGCTGAATCTAATTCTAATTTACGCACTAAGGTTTTCCTAATTCCTATTTCTACCCTAGATGTCCTGCTGCTTATCTGAGTTTCTAGAAAGATTTCTTATTTGATTACTTTCTACATATTCCTGTTTCCTAATGCATTAATTTTGGGTTTGCCAATAAGAAAACTTTGAGAGTTGGAATATTGCTGATCATTTCTTTTTGCCATTTTTTGGTAACCAAATCATTTTGACTTCTAGGATAAGCAATCATTTATGCTTTTCTGCCCAAATTTGATCCATGTTCTGTGAAATGTGCCCCAAAGTCATGCACATATTCTTGATCTTTAGGTTTTGGTGGTTTGAGACCATTTCATTGATATTTCTCAATGTCAATGAAAATTCTAGATGTTAATTCTTCATATTTTAAAAATTTCACGTTCTCTCACTTTTTTCTCTTTTTTAATCTCTTTCTTCTTTATTTCTATTAACATTTTTTCTATTAGTGCATTCTTGTTATATGTTCAAAACAAAATACTGAATATCTTAATTTATGTATATCTAATGACGTAATTTACATCTGACAGTTAAACCTTCCTTAGTACTTCTGGTGAATGCCCTTTCGAATTAGAAGGAGTAAAACTTTACCTAATTATAATAGTTTACATATGCAAATGTTATCAGATTTAATAATGTTTCCCTAGAAAGATGAACAAAGCCACATGTGTTTTAAGTGGATCATAAATCTTGTTGATTCAGTTACCGTCCTAAGTCATTTACTATAAAGAAATTATAGTCATTAAACTTCTAAACTTTAGCTTAGCTCATTTCTTAAGCAGATATTTCTGTGTTTAAGATTTAAACATTGACCTAAAAGCAGCTTCTCCGCTCCTTCTTGAATCTCCACCTGCCTCTACCATGTCCATTACGGTGACCCAGAAGTCCTGCAGGGTGCCTACCTCTGGTCCCTGGGCCTTCAGCAGCTGCCTCTACACAAGTAGGCCTGGTGCCCCATCAGTTCCTGGAGCTTCTCCCGAGTGGGCAGCAGTAGTTTCCAGAGTGGCATGGGTGGAAGCTATGGAGGGCCAGTGGTATGGGACCATCATGCCATCATGGTCAACCAGAGCCTGCTGAACCCGGAAGTAGACCCTAACCTCCAGGCCACGTGCGCCCAGGAAAAAGAGCAGATCAAGACCCTCAACAACAAGTTTGCCTCCTTCACCAACAAGGTATGGTTGCTAGAGAAGCAGAACAAGATGCTGGAGACCAAGTGGAGCCTCCTGCAGCAGCAGAAGATGGCTCAGAGCAACATGGACAACATGTTCCAGAGCTATATCAACAACTTTAGGTGGCAGCTGGAGTCTCTGGGCCAGGAGAAGCTGAAGCTGGAGGCAGAGCTTGGCACAATGCAGGGGCTGGTGCAGGACTTTAAGAACAAGTAGGAGGATGAGATCAGTAAGCCTACAGAGATGATGCAGAATGAATTTGTCCTCAACAAGAAGGATGTGATGAAGCTGACATGAACAAGGTAGAGCTGGAGTCTTGCCTAGAAGGGCTGACTGATGAGATCAACTTCCTCAGGCAGCTGTATGAAGAGGAGATCTGGGAGCTGCAGTCCCAGATCTCAGACACATCTGTGGTGCTGTCCATGGAAAACAGCTGCTCCCTGGACACAAATAGCATCATCATAGAGGTCAAGTCGCAGTACGAGGAAGTTGTCAACTGCAGCCAGGCTGAAGCTGAGACCAGGTATCAGATTAAGTACAAGGAGCTGCAGATGTTGGCTGGGAAGCACGGGGATGACCTACATTGTACAGAGATGGAGATCTCAGAGATGAACCAGAACATCAGCCAACTCCAGGCTGAGACTGAGGACCTCAAAGGCCAGAGGGCTTCCCTGGAGGCCACCATTGCAGATGGCCAGCAGCACAGGAAGCTGGCCATTAAGGATGCCAACATCAAGCTGTTCAAGCTGGAGGCTGCCCTGCAGCTGACCAAGCAGGACATGGCACAGCAGCTGCATGAGTACCAGGAGCTGATGAATGTCAAGCTGGTCCTGGACATCGAGATAGCCTCCTACAGGAAAGCCACTGGAGGGTGAGGCGAGCCAGACCTCCAGCAGACTTTCTGTAGGAGGCTGAGATGCAGAACTTGAGTATCCATATGAAGACCACCAGTGGCTATGCCAGTGGGCTGAGCTCGGCCTATGGGGGCCTCACAAGCAGCCGGGGCTCCAGCTTTGGTTCTGGTGTGGGCTCCAGCCCCACCAGGGCTGTGGTTGTGAAGACTGAGACCTGCAGTGGGATGCTGGCGCCCGAGTCCTCTGATGTTCTGCCCAAGTGAACAACCACAGTAACCCCCCGCCAGCCTACCCTTCCTGCAGCTGCCCCAGCACCCATGAAAAAGGGTGCTATGCAGGGAAGCACAGGAAACAAGAGACCAACTTGAGGCTCAGCTGTTGCCCTCAGCCATGCATAAGGGAGTTCACTGCCTGGCGTACCAATCTTGCCCATACCCGCAGCTACAAAACAATTCATTTTTTTTTCCAAAATAAAACCTCAGCTAGCTTTGAAAAAAAAATCAAACAAACAGAAAACAAGTAACATGGCTTACAATGAAGACATTGATTGAAAATTTAGAGAAAATAAGCACAAATTAGATGCCCGTGGACTCTTGGCAATTGTTTTTTCTCTTTGGCTTTACTAGCATACCTTATTGCTATGAACTCATTTACACTGAAGATAATTTTAATATGGATTAAGAATAAGGAAAGTATAATACCTTGTATGATACATAAACACTCAGGTTCAGATGAATGAACAAAATAACTAGAGTGAGAGAATACTGTATCACATGCCTTGATAAAACTTAGCCCTATACGTTTCCTTTGGGTAAAGAAAGGTAGCTGCATTCAACAAAGCAGGGGCAATTAGAGGTAACTTGACTTTAGCATTGAAATGTTTCACTGAAGAAAATCTAATAAATATGAGAACAATGAAAGTTAACTTCTCCAGGAAAATAAAGATGGACTATTTAGTGTGAATTAAGACTCACTAGCAATGTCTTCTATTTGCAGGGTATATTAGAATTAAAAGTACATTCACACAGATTTTCCCCCATGTAATTGATGCAAAAACCAAGGGAAAGGTGTAACACATGTATCCTTATCTACGTTATTCAGATTTGCAGCCCAAGGCTCCAAGGATCAGAGATATAAATGATTTGGCATTAGGAAGTGACAACTGAAACTGGAGAATTCAACCAACCCAGGCTTTCAGACTAAAGGACAATGCCATGCCACCCTATACTGCACAGTCAACTGAAGGAGTCAGCCTGCCCACACAAAGTGCTGTCATTTGAAGGGGAGAGAGTCAACTCATTCTCGATGGCACTGAAAAGTAGGATGAAGACCAGTGAGTGGAAATTACAGGGAAGCTGATTTTGCCTTAATTTGAGGAAAAACTTTCCAACAATTAGAGCTGTCTAACCAAGGAACAATCTGCCTTGTCAAATAAATGAGCAAGCTGGTGCTGAAAGCATTTAAGTCTAAGCCTATAGACTACTTCTTAGGAATACTATAGGAAAGATGACTTGAGAGACACAGTTAACATATAAGACTATCCAACCTAAATATTCCGTTGATGGTGTAGAATGACATGTGAAGAAGATGATCTATACGCTTGGAATTCAAAATATTCAGGTCGTATCTAAGCAATCCTGATGTGCTATGAAACGATGCAATTGACATACAACTCTGATATTTCTTGCAGAAACTCCTTTTAGCTAGATTTACAGTTCAATTGATATATCCAGACTAGCTGAACATGATGGGTTAGAGATCTACCTTCTAATATGTTTAAGATCTATTTTCTCTTATTGATGCTCCTGAAAACATGACTATTTCTGGACTCATTAGGTGAGAATATTTCCTCTATTGAAATAATACCTCAAACTATGTTTTGCATTTCTTTTAAGGGCTTGAGAGTTCTCACGAGGCATACCAAAATAATTAGTTGAGAGGTTGGGAGGCAGGTAGGGAAAAATTAGGGAATTGTTTTAATCTGGAGTGGAGTCAAACTTAAGAATTTCAGTCAGGCACAGTTGCTTATGCCTGTAATCCCAGGACTTTGGGAGGCCAAGGTAGGTGGATCACCTGAGGTCAGGAGTTCAAGACCAGCCTGGGCAACATGGAGAAACCCCTTTCCTTTCTTAAAAAAAAAAAAATCTATATCTATAGATATACATGTATATATCTATATCTATGTCTATGTCTATATCTATGGCCAGGAGTGGTGATACACACTTGTAATCCCAGCTACTCAGGAGGCAGAAGCAGGATAATCTTCAGGAGGCAGAGGTTGCAGCAAGTGGAGATTGCAGCGCTGCAGCCTCTGCCTGCCTGGCAACAGATCTAGGCTGTCTCTCAAAAAAAGAAAAAAAAAAAAATTGACATGGAATTAGACAGTGCTAAGAGGGAATCCAGATTGCCATTTACCCACATGTGCATTTCTCACTTCTTTTCTTTTGTACTGCTGTGAAGCTCAAACATTTCCTAATTTGTGCCATTGGCACAAATTAGTTTTCCAAAAAAAATTGTATGTCTTGAAGCAAATTGTATTTCATTTCTGAGAGTCAAATGTTTGAAACTTTTCACAGGAGACCACACCAAGGCATTTAAGCACTTGCAGAGTCAACTAAATTGCCCTTAGATTTCATCCTGGACCCAAGAACAGGGCAAGGTCATAATATACTCAGAGACTCAATGCAGCACGAACAACTTTAGATCGCAGCTAGGAGCTCATTCTCCATCTCATTTTTCTTCATATTTTGAGAGAAGAGAGAGTCACATTTATGTTTGACTTTTGTCTAAGTACAAAGACACTATATAGCAATAGTGAAACAATATTTTCCTTGTATTGTTTCTAATGCCCACAAGGATCTTTCCAAGGAGATATGGCAATCCTCATATTTTATTTATTTATTTATTTATTAAACATTAAGCTTCCATTAGTCACAAAAGATCAGGTCCAAACTAGAAATAAAAATAACTTTTCTATTACTTCAAATGATACGAGCTCCACTGAATAACATGTTTTTAAAGAAAGCGAAACTGTGTGTGGGAAAGGATGCAGCTGAGCACCAGGTTCAACTGGAGCCAGGGGCTTAAAGTCGGCCAGTGTCACTCATTCCCTCTCCATCTCTCCGCTTTTCATTCTCTGTGCCCAATTAGTGCTCTTACCCTCTTATTAGACAATGATTTTCAACATTTTAACTTCAAATACCAGTCACTTGTCATGTTTTAAAATAATATTTTAAATTAAACATTAGAAAATATTAATTTTAATGTAAAATTTCAGTTTAAGGACTGTGTCAGCTTCTGTGTGTCTGCTGTTTTCATTTGGCAAAAACAATATTTATTTATTTTTATTCTCAAAGTAGTTTTTGCTGAGTATTACATTTCAACTTTTATTCACTCTTTTCCTTAATTTTTTTTCATTTTTAATGTAGAGAGGTTGCTTTTAAATTTAATTTCTGATAAATTATATTTTTGATGCTATTCAATATGGAATTCTTGTTATTTTATTTTCCAGTTGTATCCTATTAGTACATAAAACTACAACTGATAGTTGTACATTGACCTTGTATCTTATGATGTAGCTAGAATTATGTATTAATTTCACTTATTATTTAGTAATAAGATCTTTTGTACAGTGTTTAGGATTTTGTCCACTGACAATTGTGTAAATGGCGTTAGTTTTATGTTTACTTTTCAATTGTTAAGGTTTTTATTTGTTTTAAAAATTATTCTTGCTTTATGTCACTCATTAGATTGATTGGATGTTGAATAGACCTGGTGAGTATGAGAATCCTTGACTTGTGTCCTAACTTAACAATAAAGCAGTGCTTCATTATTAAGAATGATGTTAGCTGCCAGCTTTTCACAGATATCTTTTATCAGATTCATGAAGTCCTCTCTATTCCAAGATTACTGAGATGTTGTTGCATTTTATCATATATTTTTTCTGCATCTATTTAGATTTCTATATACATTTTATTTATTCTGTAAATAAGATTGAACACATTGATTGCTTTTTAAAAAATTTTTAAACCAATCTTACATTCCTAGGATCATCCCCCACACTTGGTATTTATTGCTGAATTTAATTTGCTAATATTTTGCTGAGAATTATGTGTCTATTCCCATGAAGAATATTCATTTATATTTTTCTTTTTAGTATTTTTCACTCTTTTCATTTTCTATCTCTTCTGAAAACATTCTTATAAGAATGGTATTGTTGTCTGGGTACAGTGGCTCATGTCTGTAATCCTAGTAATTTGGGAGGCCAAGGCAGAAGGATAACTTGAAGTCAGGAGTTTGAGACCAGCCTGGCCAACATGGCGAACCTCGTCTCTACTAAAAATACAAAAATTAGCCAAGCATGGTGGTGTATGACTGTAACCCAAGCTACTAAGGAGACTGAGGCAGGAGAATTGCTTGAACCTGGAAGGTAGAGGTTGCAGTGAGCCAAGATTGCACCATTGCACTCCAGCCTAGGTGACAGAACAAGACTGTGTTTCAAAAAAAAAAAAAAGGTATTGTTTTGTATTAAAAGTTTGATAGAATTTGCCAGTGAAATAAGGAATCTAGAATTGTCTTTAATTTTTGAGAATATAACTTTTCATGAGTATAGGGCTATTCATATTTTATTTTTTTGTCAGTTTAGGTTAGTTGAAGGAATGCATTAATTTCATCTAAGTTGACCAATTAATGTCATAAAATGGTTCATAAAATAATCTTCCAGGGTTTTCCTTTAAGATCTTTAGAGAGATGTTATCTTGTACTCTAATATTTATCCGTATTATTAGGTGCTTGCCAATCATATACATCTTGTCAAGCTATCAACTTTTGGATTTTTAAATAATTTTCTTTTCTATTTCACTAACTTTCACACATCTTTATTTCTCCCTGTTGCTTACTTTGTCTTTAATTTGCTCATCTTTTTTTCTGTCATCTTAAGATACAGCCATACATACACAGTTAATTCCAGAGTTGTCTTTTTTCCTAATGTTAGCATTTTGCTATAAACTTCTCTGTAAGTACTGCTTTAGCATGATCCTACAAAGTTGAATATTTTGTGAGATTGTATCATTTATTTTTAAATACTTTTAAATTTTCACTGTTATTTCTTCTTTGGCAGAGGTTATTTAGAAATCTATTTTTTTAAATTTCCAATATATGAAGCTTTTATTCATATAATTTTTTATTTCTAAGTTAACTACATTGTTTTTAGGGAATCAACTGAGTAATATAACAATCCCTTGAAAGTCTTTGAACGTTCTATGCTCCAGAATATGGTCTTTTTCAGTAAAAGTTACATGTCCTTTTTTTTTTTTTTTGAGACAGGGTCTTTCTCAGTCTCCTAGGCCGGAGGACAGTGGAGTGATCTCAGGACACTGCCACCTCCACCTCCTGGGTTCAAGAGATTCTCCCACCTCAGCCTCCCGAGTAGCTAGAAATATAGGTGCATGTCACTATGCCTGGCTAAGTTTTGTATTTTTAGTAGAGATGGGGTTTTACCACGTTGGCCAGGCTGGTCTTGAACTCCTGACCTCAAGTGATCTGCCGGCTTCAGCACCCCAAAACCTGGGATTACAGGGGTTGAGCCACTGCGCCCAGCCATTATGTGTTTATAAAAAGAAGATGTATTCTACACTAAGGTGTGCCATTCTATAAATGCAAAAAGTTCTGTCAAAGGAGTTGCTAGTGTTGTTCACATCATCATCAATTACTGAAGCTTTTGGTCTAGATATTAAATAAGTAACTGTAAGAGTCATGTCCCAGTCTGTGATTATAGATATGTCTATTTTCTCTTTTATATCTGTTTTGCCTTATGTATTTTGAATCTCTGTTATTAGGCATATACCTTTCTATGATTGTTATGTGTGTTTGATGAAATGATCCTCCTAACATTTGGAAATAATCCTTTTGCTTTTTGTTCACATACTAGCTCATATCTTACTATTAAAAATATAAACACTCTACTTTCTTATGCTTCTATTTGCATAGAGTATAACTTCTATGTTTTTACTTACTTGTTTTGCCTTTGTTCAATTAATTCTTTTTCAGTATATATTAACCTTTTTATTCAAATGTAATATACATATACAAAAGTTTTATAATTCTTCAAACTGAAAAATCCCATATGTAGCCCCCAAGTCAACACAAAAACAGTTCTAGCACCCCTATAAGGGCCCTGTGAATTTGGTTCACATCATTATTTGTCTCAGAGTAATGAATATTCTGACTTCTAATAGCATAAAAAACAGCTTTCCCCCTATGTTTTCTTGTTTCATATAAAATGAATCATGCTATTCATGCTAGTTGTGTTATTTGTATGGTCTATGTCTGTGTGGTTTGTTAAGCATAATTTGTGAGATTAATCCATAAAGTCCTTTGTAGCTGTATATATTTATTCTGATTCTAGATATTGTTACATTATAAAAATATGCCCAAATTATACTTATCCATTCTGCTGTTATTTTGTTGAAGGGTATTTGGTAGTTTTAGTTGTTGTTGTTTTTGTTATTGTAAACAGTGGTTCTGTGAAAATTAATATGCTTACATTTTAATGAATAGATGTCCATGGTTCTATTGGGTATATAGAATTGTTGAATTGTGGTACCATAGAAAATGCATATACTTAGTAGATGTTGTCAAAGAGTTTTCCAAAGTTATACCAACTTATTCTTCTATCAGTTATGTATTATATTTCTGGCTATTCCATAACTTCACAAACACTGAGTATTGGATTTTTCATTTTAATCATTCTGTTTATGTATGAGCGGTATTTCATTGTGATTTTGATTTGCATTTTCTTGTAGAATAATGAAATTAAGTTACTTAAGTAACTTTTAATATAATTGTTGGCTATTTGAATGTCCTCTTTTGTGAATAATCTATTTAAGACCTATTCCCCTCATACTGTATTTGGTTGTCTCCTTTTTCTTATTGATTTGTATAATTTTTTCATGTATTTTAAATCCAAAATTTTGTGGGAGATATGTAAAAATTCATCTGCCATTCCACGGCCAACCAACCTTAATGTTCCCAATTAGCAAAAGTTTTTAATTTTAATATAGGACAATTTTTATTTTCTATCATGTTAG